CTACCTTATCTCAAACAGAAAACAGACTGTTCCACCTTATGATGTCATGTGATATTAGAGAAAGTGCTCCACTATGCTTTTAAACTTCATGCATCTTCACTAGAATCATCTGGATGATTTCAGTCCTGGAATTGTCAGTCTCAACTGAACAAAAATGAAAAGGTAGCTGAAAACTAGTGAGCTGAAAACTATCGCTTCATGACATCGCAAAGTGGACCAGACCATTTTGAGCTTTGAAAATGTTCGCAGAGTAATAATAAAGAATTAATCAAACATGTGTGAATGAAACAACTCCAGGTATGTAATTAAGGAGGTAATAATCGTCATAGTGATAATCGGGGGAAAAAAAAAAAAAAAAATCAATATTAATTTTGGCCCACCTCTAGCATTTTGTGTTACTTACATTAGCTCTGTTTGCACACACACCACAAAACCAAGACTAAACTGGGATTAAACCTGAAACTAAACCATGACTAATAGAGGGCCAAACAGGGTTTTCCTTGCAACTAAACTGGCCTCAAAACCAGGATTTAAAACTAAACTAAAACTAGTATGGACTGCTGCATGATGGCCAGATTGGTATAACTTAATCACTGAAGTATAGAAAATTTATGGCATGCTCAGTGAGTCAGTTTACAATACTCCACTGCACCTGTATGCATATGGACACCCTAATGTACCTCCCCAAAATAAAACTGTATGCCTGTATGTATAACTAAAAAGTATGCCATTTTAATTACACACAGGCAATACAGAAGAAACTAAAGAATCCAGATCTTAAACCAACTCCACTCTCTACACAGCACCTCATTAAACCAGGTCTCTCACTGTTCTAACCTCCTCTATAGCATGCAGAACACTGTCGGGCCCCTTTTGTTAGCATTTCTTCCATTGCCTTTGCTACGTATCACACATGAATAAAAAACAGGATGTCGTGCCGGCCGAATCCTGGAGTCATAAGAGCGCGGCTGGGGGTCTACTTTTGAGGACCAATCTGCACACAGCATCTGATTAAGTCCTTCAGCCTGTCAGCGGGCTAATGGCTATTGTAGCTTGTCCGTCACACTGCTACCTTTACATTTGCGGGCTTGATTTAGCACTGGTTTAAGCATTGCATTTAACTTCATAAGCTGAAAAGGTTGGAAAAGAGAACTGAGTGAATAAAGTTTGTAAGTTTGACAGTGAATCTCGCAAGATGACCAGAATGAACACTGACCATTGTAACAAATACCGCAAGTAAGACTGAAACTGTTGATCGTTTCATTGGGTGACCATTTAAGGACTAACATACTTATTTTGTTAAAGGTTGGTTAAACTTAAAGATACAATGTACATTTTCTTCTGGAGGGTTCATCATATGCTTGGAAATGTTACTGCTTTGCCAGTAATGTTTCACAGTATAGCATGAACTAATATATTTCAACAAACAAGGTTTTGAAGTCTCCACCTAAAGACTTACATCCTTTCAGTGAGTTATCCTATCTCAGTTACAAGTTTGTAAAAGTAGTGACACAGTAGTGTTATATATGTATTTATCAGTAATGACCACTACACAACACAAAACATCAGCAAATAAACATATTAACAATACTGACTTAACCCGCCACATTCTTGTATTATAATAAGATCACATTTTTTATCTTTGAGGTTTGAAAGTTTGGTTCTAGATCTTAATATTTTCTCAGACTTCTAGCTTCTTAGAAAACTTTCCCTCACTGGTGATTCGTAAAAGTTGCATCTTGAGAGAGAGGGGTTCAAAATAAATCACTCGGATGAAGTCAAATGAGGAAAGTGAGAAATTAATTTGTGCGCCCTCCTGATTTCTCCACAGGCAGACATCGATCACGTCGCGGCCCTGCTCCCTGGCCCTGGAGGTGGAAGCGGCTCGGGGAGAAGGAGGGCCTGCGTGAGTCCGGGGGGGTCGTTGTAATCAAGCACTCTCATTAGCGTTGCTCTGGAGGTCTCCCCCAGGCCGACCCCCCTGCTCTGCCCCGGCCCCAGTCCCCCGAGCTGGGCTTGTTTCAGGGGCTAAGGAGGCTGCTTTGGTTTTTGTTTCTCCACAAGTGCACCACCCGCTAACACCTATCAATACACATTAGCACAACAGTCTATACTTCAGCAACTGTATGCTAACTGCAAACTTTTCATTGCTTCTGAAGTTGGTTCACAGTATTTTTTCTTTCCAGCAGATGGTCATGACTGGTAGGGCATCCTACTTTAAAACTGCCTTCTACACTACCACCTGTGTAACCACCTGTGAACATTCTTATGCTAATTTGCAGAGTGCAGCAAAGACAAAACTGTGTTTGGAATAGTTTAAACCATTGGCTTAACCTAGAAGATACAAAAGGATATAGGTGAACAGTTTTATAACAGTATTGTAGTGTTCAATTTGTTATATAAGTAAAACTTGCAATGAGTTCTCCAAAACCTTTAAATTACAATATAATTACTTGTGCTGTTAAAGAGATGATAACAAATGAAAACAAAAAATCTATATCTTGCAAAAAATTTTGAGGTTTAAAATTTTAAAGAATTAAAGAAAAGTTATTTTACAAACTTTTGTGTATGATTGAAGGCAAGATTTTTTATTTTTTTTTAAGATACCTTTTTAAAAAGCCCAATATTAACCACACCACTAGTTAATTTTATGTTTGTTGTTGTGTTTCTGTCCTGTTTGTGTTGGTATGTGTGGAGTTTTCTAAAATGCATGGATCTCCTCTTCTGTATTGGATTGAGATGTTTTAGGTTTATGGTTTTGGACACCACTGACCACTTTAACCATGTTTTTCTTGTGCAATGCCAGGATGAATACAACTGGGTGTAACTGTTACAAATGAGTTAAACATAAGTAACCTTTTGGCATAACTTTCAGCTGAGATCATAATGTGTGTTTGGACAAATGTAACTTTATAATGGACCTTATTAATATAAACTATCAGATTCACCATTTATGCATTTTCCATTTAGATATTTCTTCTGAAATTGTGGTTTTCAGATTTTAGAATGTGTTGAGGTCATACTCCCAGATGGGGAGCAAGAGTCAGATTTCTATACAGATACCACTGTATTTTGCCATGAAATATCAAAAAGTAAATTCACAAAATCATTTCTGTGATCATATGAATTTTATTTTTGGGGTTTATTTTATTAAATTATTTAGTGAAAGAGCTTCAATTTTGATTCTTGTTCAGAGATAGGAAACTTGCTTATGTAATACATTTTGACATATTCACACATTCAGGTGGCAAGTGTGATAAGCATTGTGATTGTAATCAGATTTGTGATTCATATTTTAATGCTCAAAGTTCACATTTTATTAAAACATGAATCATATTTCAGAAAACATTTGTCCAGATCTAAACTACAGGGTTAATGGTTTTTATTCAGAATAAGACTGGATATGTTTGTTTGTTGTATGTTGTATGGTTTGTGGAGGAAATAATGGTACTTAAAAAATTGCAGACTTTATGATTTGCTAATTATGTCCATTGAAATGGCAAATTTGATTCGACTGTGATTAATCTTGTAGCCCTATAATGGACAATAATATTGACACAGCCCCATCTGAAAGAGAGACATCAGCACATTCTACATCACCCAAGCAGGTACTGCATTAGAAACAGATACACAGAAAGCTTACAGTATAGTGCAGTCATTAAAAGGCTGGACTGTAGCAGCGGTGCATTAGCTCAGTCTCTCTGCACTGCACTGGGTAAACGCTGGACTAATGTGGCAGCCTTCTGAGGGCCCAGGGTCCCCAGCCTGCTGGGCAAACCCATCCATATCGGGTTTAAAATAACCACGCCTGAGACTTAACCTTTAGCAGAGACAAATGAAATGAAAATATACAGTGTGGTGCATCCGGAGCAGCCTTCATTCATAGGGGGCTCTCTGCCAAGGCCTGACCTGAATTACCACGCAGTTCCTGAGGGGGCGCCGTGAATGGCATGCACGAGGACAAGGCACATTCATCTGCGGCATGCTATCCTACATCATACAGCGGTAAAGGTTGGGAAACAAAGAGGGCTGGCCATGCATAAATTCATAAACACAAAGTATTTTTTTCACACATGCACAACATAGAAACCGCTCTACTTTCTTTGTCCAAGTTTACATTGACCTAAAGTGTTCTGGCAGAGCTAATGCTGCTTTGATGTGGGTTTGGGTTGTAATTGGATCACTCCATCCACAAACTAAATGAGCATGGAACAGCATATGCAATGATCCGCTTGCTTTGTCACTAGAGTGGGCAACATGAAACATCCAAATACTTAAAGTTGTCACGCATTTTCAGCCATGTTTGTCTGTGAATACATTAAGGACAATAAAAACTAAAAATGCCAAATACTATGCATATGGCTTCACAAAGCATATCGTGCTCACTGTCATGACACATTTTAGTGTGGTTTTATCATTTTACAAAGATAGGGTCTATGGGCTAAAAGCGCCAATTTTCTTCTGTGTAGTGGGGGAAAATGTGCTAGTACAGATATATTGTATAAACATCTCTGATTATAAAGTGTTTTATCCTCAGAGAATCAGGAAATGGGCTGTTAGCATGCTGATATTTGTTAGCAGTACTGTGGAATGAAGAATCTGCTGTGACCTTTGAAAGATGTGAAAAGCTCTTATAAAGTCCTCACAGTGAGTAATGAGGATGTTCTGAAGTGAGTAATAGCTGGAACACAGTAAACCATAAATAAGCAAGTTTTTTTCTTGTTTTAGGACAGTAAGAATCAGGCACAGCATCTTTAAGGTCTTTATGAGTAAATTTATATTTTGGGGGAAAATGTATCTGAATAATTGCTCATTGCAGTAAGTTAAAATCCAACTCAGTATCATGTAAAGTTCTGTAGCAATGCATGTTTAAGGATTGCCTTCTACCTTACATGTAATATCACACTTCCCCCAAAACACAGAATATTTTGTGTGTATTCCTTCAGCAAACCACAACCTTTCCAGCCCCAAAAATGATGAAATATGAAACGGAGCATTACCGCTTGGAATGGCAGTCTGCCCTGGACTGTGTAGCTCCTCCGTCACATTGTCTTCTACTGCCAGAAAGAGAGAGACAACAGAGAGGGATGGGGGAGGAGAGAGAGAGAGAAAGGGAAAGAAACAGTTAATAAGTTGTACACGCTGGCCATTTCTACCGTTTTATTATTTACTACTGAGATTTGAGTGTATGGAAACTCTGGGAGAATCCAACAGCTTTCGACAGCTCAACTTGCGGTCTGGGAGTGTGTGCTAGTCTTTCATATGGATCACTTTTGGCATTGCTGCAAACACCTACGTAAATAACATAGCGCATTATGAATTATGAACCTACTCTCCCCCCGTGAACTGTGAATCACCCACTGAAAAACACCTTGATGACTGCATTAGCCAGTAGCCTTGACTTGCAAAATTGTATCAAAAGACAGATTTGTACATTCAGGACCACGCGCGTACGTCTTTTTTCCAGTCCCACTGTGTGTAAAATGTCCTGACAACTTTAGCAGCTGCAAAGTGCTTGTCTGCTCTTTAACATGGCAGATGACAAAATAGTGATGGCTTGATCAGCGTCGGGGTCCGCTCATTAGAAGCGCCTGGCAACCAAATCGTGACTGACTTTTTTGACAAGCGCTCTGGCCTTGGACAAAACATCACCCCTGTTTAGTCAAAAAGATAAGAACCAATTTTTTTTTTCTTTCTTTTTTTTAACGTTATCGCCGGAACAGGGGAGAGTTTCCTTGTGGCATGTCAAACTCCCGAAAATGAAATGGATTTTAGCAGCGGGAGGAGAACAAAAGCGTCTCCCACCTGTTCTATGTAAAACCAGGGTCTCGCCGAGGACTCCTTACACGTCTGCGTTCCACCCCATGCAGCTGAAATGCATTCTCCATTATGTCTTTTCTTACTAGCCTTTCATTTTTGCGAGCAAAGGAGGCGAAGGGGGGCTGTATCTGACAGGACCTCCCAGTAGGGGTGTGGAGCGGCGACTGCCAAAGCAGAAACTGGCGCACTTTTAAAATCGCACAAAATATCCAGTACTTTGCATAATTAAGGCGAGATCCTATGGCGGCACAAGTCTTTTCCTCGGGGGAGAGAGAGTCGGTGTCAAGCAGGGTGTCAAGGCTCGGTGAAAAATGAAGAGGGGAAGAAAAGTGTTGAGCTGTTTCTTCTGAAGACTGCAAAGAATCGCTGTGTACCCACTGCCAGGTCTTGTCCAGCCTGTGCTCTGTTCATGCAAGATGTCTCTGAGCATGCTGAGTACCCCATAGAGTCATAAAATGGCAGTAGTACTTAATAGTTAATCACAGAATATCAAAAAGTTGGAAGTTTAACATGTGAGATATTGGACGTACGTTTCCACAAAGCAACAAACAGTAACTGACCTAGCTCCATTCAACTCCAGCCATTCTATCAAAACACTATCACAAACTCAAACCAAACAGAAAAAGTTTTATAATAAGTTGCCTTGTACATTTAAAGCTCACAAATACATGGAATAACTCTAATCATTTTTTGGCAATACGAATTTGAAACACCCAGTATAGTCTAAGATTTTTTATTTTGTTACAACATGGTGGAAATAGTTTGTACAGAATTGCATATTTCCGAAGCACTTTTCTATGCAACTAAGATCCTAAACAAAGTCACACCCAAAACAACAGAAAAAAATCTTACAGTCAGTTGCTTTGTACAGTAAAAGATCGCAAATACATGTAATAACTCTCGTAATTTTTTGGCAATGAGAATTTGAAACACACAGTGCGGTCTAATAAATGGAATTCATGTTTAAAAGACAATACTGCAAGATTTTTAATGGCGGAAATAGTTTTAGAATTGCATATTTCTGAAGTATTTTTCTATGCAAAACGAGATCCTAATCAGAACCATTACATGAGATGTGAAAAACGAAAGGTTGTGCAGCTTTAGAGAAACGTACTGTAAAACTGCGGACAGAGTTTTGTTTACAATCTAAATCTGGCAACCTCTACAGCCAGTACTTAACACTCTTTTACATATTAGTATACATAAATACTAATGTTGCTGCAATTACTAGTACAATTTCAAACTTCAGTGTGATACTAAGGAATAGTTTCAATACTAAACAATACAAAAATAATAAGAATACACTCTTTTTTTGTCATTTGTTATACCATTTGGGCTTATACTAGTTCTGAGAATGCTCAAGATCATTCTAAAACTAAAAAAAAGGAAATGTATAATGTTCTGTGTATGTGTATTTTCTTTTTAGCATCAATACTTGCACAAATTAGTTTACAATACAAATTTCTGTATCAAACTGTATCTGACACTACTACACACACACAAACTCATTTTAAGTTCTCTGGCATCTGTGTGTGATCTGAAAACAAAACAAGCGGCTAACTTATGTCATTTACACCCTGTATTTAAATCCTTAGGTGTACATTCTATAGAGTAAACGTGCCAAACAAAGGGTCATGGGTCTGGCAATTAATTAGTGAAATCAATTAAAAGTGATGGAGTAGCCGTAGTTGGACGCAGCGGAGGTTCTGTCCCCGGGAGCCTCAAACTTGCCTGTTCCCTTCCAAGTCAGAAATCAAGAGGGCCCTGTGCGCGTAATGAGTTTCTCCAGCTCTGCACATCGGGATCATTTAAATGGGCCCGGGATAGGGGGTCCTAATAAATCCCCCACGGTTCTATCCGAGATTGGTGTGTGGAGTTTTGTTTTGATTACCCTCCCTGTTGGCGAGATGAGGCAGTTCAGGCAGAAAATCTAGTTCACAATACCATAAGAAGTAGGGAACATTACGGCGATTTGTGATTTGTCGCCACAGTGAACGTATTAAAAGTTTTGTTGTCGGAGTTAGTCACGTCCATTTGCGTTCGACAGGTGGGTAATTATAAATGTCATGTCAAGTTACGGGGGTCGAGAGGTGGGGGCTACTGGTGTGGTGGGTTCAAATAAACAATGGAAAATGCGGCTATAAAATTACTAGGTTTGCAGCCCTTTAATTTGATCGGTCAGTGTTATTAAGGCTGCATTATACAGTATATCACAATCCAATCGAAACCGCAATTTGAGTTGGCACACTTACCAAAGCAACGGCTGCAATTATTTAGATAATAAAATGTTATTGTCTGCAAAGAACTAAATATCCTGTTGTTTTGTAGAAAGGTCATGCAGTACCTGAAGTTTAGATCTATACAGCGCTGTGTAAAGCATGGGATTCTTGCATTAGTTTATCAGCTCATATTTCAGTATTCTCTCAAACTCCACTCCTGGAGAATCAGACTGACCAGAAACAGACTTTTTAAATATATATTGCAAATCTAATCACAATAGTATTCCTTGTCAGAAAAAAATCATTACTACACCAGAGAATGCATGGAGTGAGTTTGCTGGAGTTTTTGAGTGACTGTACAGTTCAGTCTGCCTTTTCACTTACGAAGATGCAGTTTACTAGTACTTATGTGTAGCTGTTGTTGTCTTTATTATATTGCACAAGATTCTAATGCTACTTTTAGGCAATTAATCAATGCACAGGACATGTCTCTAGACGATCACGAATTTCTTTAGTCGACTACAGCCCTTAAAATCTAGTATCCAGTATCTCAAACTGGTGAAACATTCATTCATTCACACATGTTTAACACACAAACCGTGCATATTTAAGCTGACTTTTTCCCTCAAACAAAGAAGAAAACACGTTCCACCTTATGACGTCATGTGGTAGTACAGGAAGTGCTCCACTGTTTTTAAACTCCATGTACACTCACTAGAATCACTGGATGATTTCAGATCTAGAATTGCAAATCTCTACTGAATTTAAGGTAAAGGGTACAGCTGTTAACTTGAAAACTACTGCTTCTTGACATCACAAGGTGGGACAGAGCATTTAGAGATGTAGACTCAAACATGTGTGAATGAAACAAAACATAACTCGAGGTAACAACATTCTAACATGGCTTAAATAATCCATTTCGTGTAATATAAGAGCTTTAAGAACTTCAGTTGTGCTGTCATTATATGTAGATAATTTGTTCAGCTCTAGTCCAAGTTTAGTTTAGATTCTAGTTTTGTTTCAATGGTGATGTGGGGTGAACACAGCCTTAATACTGTCATCAAAATCCCTGTGAGCAATATAATATAAAAATAGAAACAAAATATAAAAAATATGACTCATATTTTCTTTGATGTACAATTTCAAATAAAGTCCTTTCAAAGAGTCATTTCTGTCGCACAAGCAGTCTTACCTTAATTGAAACACACTTAGATCTACCCTCAGCTTGTAAACAGCACGCAAGTTCATTCCTAACTCAGCTCAGCCTTGTTCCTAATACACCCACTATCAGTTAATTAATGTTTGACATGTACAGGTATCAGTTGGCCGGTGACAAACTGTAATCACGCTGCTAGCTTTTGTTGATACAATTCGGAACACACGCGGGACTGCTTCAGAGAGGGGCTCATCACATTCTAAAACAGCAGCGGTAAAAGGCCACTAATTAACGCAAGCATTGGCCAAACACAAAATGAACTGCCTGTCAAACTGTGAAGCACAATCCCCATTCAGTGTTTAGGGAGGGGGAGGATTCGCCAACAATTCAATATGGAGAAGGAAATGTGGAAAATCAAAATACAGTCATTTTCAGAAATTATGTAATTGCGATGGTGTTGTTTTAGGTCAAATTGCGCTTTTGGAGTTGGTTGAGTTAATATTCTTGTTCAGAATGATCAGACATGTACATTTACCCATTATTATTATTCAGTTATGACACAGGTAAACAAAAAGAGACTGAGAATGTAATTTGTGATATTTTGAGCTTGTGCAAAAATTATACAATAACAATAGCTACAAAACAAGAGCACTATTGATAAAATCCCATGGCTATTTCCAGGAACTAAAAAAAAAATATTTGACAAACTACAAGATTGACTATCAGATGCCAAAAATGTTGAAACAAAAAGTAGTTTTGCTGCTCAAAGTAGCAGTTACTAAAATATAGGTTAACGTTTTAAGTTTTAATCAGATATATTTTTTTTCTCATACTTTGTGTTACATTTGTGAATCTTGGA